GGGGTCAGGGGGGGCGGGTTTGTGCCTGGCCTTCCTCTGTGCTCGCCCTGGGTCCGCAGGGAATAACCCGTCCCAGGAGAGCTCCACAACAGACAGTGAACACATTGGCACATGTGATTCAAGATGGGAGATGCCAGTGAAGGCAGTGACCATGTCTAATGGGTGGTGAGGAGGCGCCATTAGACACAGCCCTTAATTAAGGCCGGGAAGAGCATTCCAAGCAGAGGGAACAGCTAGTGCGAAGGCCTTGCCGAAGCAGGAGTGTGCCTGGCAGGTTTGGGGACCAGTAAAAAAAGAAAACGAGTGAATGAATCCACTCTGGCGCCCTAGCCCAACTTCACCGACCGCTGCCTTTTCAGACGGTCTTGGTTCCACCGTCTGACTCTGGGAGCGAGCATCCCAGAATAACCGCCGGACCCCGACCCTCCAGAGCCTGCCATCTGCCTCCCAAGTGCTGTCATGGCCCGCCCCCCAGTCCCAACCTAGGCGCACGCGATCCTGTCACTCAGCCCCTGGTCACCCCACCCCCACTGAACCCCCCATCTCCACCCCGACCCAATCCCCTGCAATGCTGTCTCTCAGCGCCAGACCTTGCCCACACAGTGCTGTCACTCATTCTTGACCCAGCTCTCTAGCCCAGCAAAGTGCTGTCACTCAGCCCAAGTCCCCTCCCCATACTCAGTCCTGGCCCGCCCCCCACCCCACCCAGCACACAGGCTGTCACTCACTTGGCCCCGCCCCAGCCCTGCCTGCACACTTGCGCTGTCCCTCAGGCCCAGACCCCGCCCCAACACACGTGCTGTCACTCACTAGATCCCCAGCCTGCACACTTGTGCTGTCATTCAGCACCAGGCCCCGCCCCGCCCACGTGCAGTCACTCACTCTGCCCCTCCGCCACGCACTTGTGCTGTCACTTAGTGGTTCTGTCTGAGCAGGAGGCGCAGCTCTGCCCGCGGGCGGACACTCGGCCTGCCTGTCGCCCCATGGACACCGTGCTCCTCTTCGCCCTCGGGCTGCTGGCCCAGGTAAGACCCTGCCTCCCTGCACTGCCCAACAGTCTTAGAGCAGGGCGCCGGGTCACCCCGGGACTGCTGGCCCTGGCTGCCTTTGTGGGCCTGTGAGCTGAGGGTCCTGGGTGAGGCTCTGCTGCCCGGGGCGCTGTAGGCCCCGGGAGTGAGGGGGTCCAGATGCCAGAGTAACTGCCTCCCCCTGGACGGGCAGCCAAGCTGGGGCACTGCCAGGAGGCCACCTAGCAGGCGGCCCCTCCCTTTGAGTGTGCCCCTGGGCCCTGGGGTAGTCAGTCTTGCGGTGGAGGGCAGGGAGAGGGCGGAGCAGCAGGAGCACCCCTGATGGAGGAGCTGGGAGGCCAGATTTTTGTTGGGACCCTGCTGAGGTTTGGGGGAAGTCTGAGCCCCTCTCCATGAGCCCTGCCAGCAGGAGCAGCTGCAGCTCCACCCTCCAGGAACTCACTCTGCCTTGGGAGTGCCCTGTGCCCAGGGAAGCCAGGCCCCAGCACAAAGCCCACGACCCTGCACATCCCTGCTGGTCCTCCAGCGCCCCACCGTGGGAGCAAGCTAGGCAGAAGGAAGCACAGACTGCCCCCTTCCTCCCCACCATGGGCGCCTCCTGAGTAGGGCCACATCTCCTCATGCCCTGGCTGCTGGGCCGGCGCTAGGCTGTGCCTGAGAAGGGAGCATGACCTCAGTGGCCTCCTGCCTTCAGAGACTGGGCTGAGCCAGGTCACAGGCCAAAGGCCAGGGGTCAGGGCCGGGCAGTGGTGGAATTATGGTTGCTGTTACAGTTCCAGGCCCATTAGGCAGCATGGGATGCTGATGAGAGGCGGGCTTCCCAGCACCCACCTCAGGGGCTTCCTGCAGCCCCCTATTCCCACAGACCCCCGATCCGGCTGGCCAGCTCAGATTTCAGCCCTGGCAGCTGACCAGGTGCCTGCCAGCCGACCCTCCACAGCAGCTGGCCCCTCAGGGCACCAGGCTCCACCCCCCTCCTCCCCTGCCTTTAGGCCCTCCCACTCCTCGCCCCCGCTTCCCCCCAGACAGCGTCCCTATGCCTAGGCCTCAGCGGTGATCACCTAAGCCTCTGCCCTTGCAGCCCTCTGCTGGGAGACCACCCCTGTGGGGCCCAGATGCCTCACCTTCCATGCTCCCTCCCCACTGGACCAAGGAACAGCATTTCTCCCCCAGCCCCTCA